CCTCATCTCCTCCATTTCATTCCTTAACTTTCTGAGGACACAACTGCAGCTCTCCCAGCCCGTCTGGGGACAGCAACCCTGACCATGAAACCCTCACTTGGGTCCTCTTTTCTACTTTGCTCCATCGCTCCTCCAAATAGGAAGGCGCCCTCCTTGGTTGGGAAGGACCTGTAGTAGTAACTCAGCCACGTTGCGGCCTCGGGGTGCAAGCTCTCTTCTGCCCTTTTACCACAGTGGTTCGTATCCGCGGGAAAGCAAGTTAGAAAACTGCTACCTTTTCCCGATCTATGCCTCCGCCGAGCTCCTTATTTATTTTATCATTTTCGACAGAATCCTTCCCAGGTTCCACCGAGGGATGGATTCGATGACTCGCCTGTCTTTCCAGTGCAGATTTCTAGCCGGCGCCCTGTCTCTCTCTACCCCAGAGATCCTCAAACCAGGAGCGCCCGGAGCCTGCGCTCTAAGTGGGGTGTCACGGGCTCCGATTGCCGCCCCTCACCCTGAAGCCTGGGCCGGGCCCCTCCCTCCCTCGCAGCGGGCCCACCTGCTCCGCCCAGGACCACGCCTGCTCCGGGCAACTTCGCTCCCGGGGAGCAGAGGTTGCGGACCGAATGGGGAAGGGCAATTCTTGAATTTTAGCGCTGCCCGTTCGCCCCAAAGTGTCGAAAAGGACTTAGGCTCCAGCCCCACAGGTCTTTTCCCTCCTGCCGAGAGCAGACGCTGCCCGGGGCTCTCGGCTCCGGTTCCCACCTGAGCGCCTGCCGCGGGCGCCGCGCGCTCTCCCATGCTAGGCGCAGAGACGCACACTCACCACAAGCGCTAACCTGCAGCGGTCCGGAGGGGGAAAGGTGGCCGCCTAAGCCGGGGGTGGACGATCGGGGAGGTCGTGCCAGACTCTGGCCGCGGCGGGGCGGAGAGTGGCACGTCCCGGGGCTCTCCGTTGCTGGACTCCCGAGGGCGGCCGGGCGGGTCCCAAGCACCGGCGGGCGGGCAGAGAGGCCTGGGGCTCGCCACCACCCCTAATGCTCGTCTCTTCTTACCTTCATCTCTTCCTTTCTTCATCACCCCTTTCTCATCTTGCTTCCCTCACTTTTCCCCCTTCTCCTTCTCCTCTCAGCCGTCTCCTCCCTGCCTTCCACTGATGCGTGGAGGACGGGGGAGGGAAAAAGTCCCGTCTCTTTAATTTGAATGATACCTTGGAGATTATCTGTTCATGGAATCTAGAAATGACGTGAACAACCTTTCTGAAAAGTATCTAAAATAAAACGACTTTAGTCTCCTTTTCCTTTTCAACATTGCGTCTCCTTCCCAGTGGCTCCTTGCTTCGGTTGGGTGGCTAGGAATGAGGTGAGGTCAGATAAGGAAAGCGGGAGAGGGAATTCCAGACAGCAGTCATAGGAAGTGGGGCTGAGAATCAGGCATTGAGTGGGCCCAGAGATCTGTTTACTCACAATTTCACAAAGCAGGCATTTCCTGGAAAGATAATTGAGGTTTGGGGTGAGTGAGGAGAAGATAGGCAGGGAAATGGTGACAGGCTTCATTCAAGGCTCTATTCTAAGGTATCCATTATGCCTTAGAATACATCTCTAGTGTTTTGACCTGGACTTGACCTTGAGAAAATACATGATCTTTTCCTGTTTCTGGCCTTAAATCTTCCCCCTCTCCCCTACCCCCCACCCCCTACTAAGGTTTTATGGACCACTAGACAGAGTCCCTTCAGCTGTAGCCTACCAGGAACTCCCCAAACCTGTTTTGACAGACCCTAGGAACTTAGGTGCTTCTTGGAAGTTTTCCTGCACTGGAACAGGTCTCCAATGCTGGTAGGAGTGAGACAGGTTTTTTCGTACAGAGTACCACCCCCACCGTCTACAGGTTACCCATTTCAGGAGGGTTTCATCCTGGGCCTGACTGCTGTGTATCCCTTTTCCCGGAAAACAACTCATGTCACTGAAAATCCTTTCTGCTCTCCCACCTCCCAGTATGTTCTGTCATCCAAAGACAATCTTATATAAATCTCCCATATAGACTAAACCTGTATGTTCCAGTCTACCTTTCTTCTGTTGGAGAGGTCCTCCTTATTCTCTGACATATATTTACATGAGATACATATATATATATAAAACACTAAACATAATGCTTGGCACTTAGTACTCAAGAAATGTTAGCTGAATTACTATCAGTAATGGCTTCAGATTATCATTCACATTTTATTTCATGTTTTTATTCTCTCACATTATTCTTAAACCTGGATTTCCTGTGCCATGATTTGCACAGTTCCAGCCCTTGTCCCTTATAAATATTTGACAATGCAGTTATGGCTACTCATTTAGGAAAGAATAATAAACCGAGAGGATTTATAACTTTCCTAGTAGAATACAGCAATTTCTCTAGAAGATATGATATTGACCACCTTGATTTTACACTTGTACTCTGAGTCGTTTGTAGCAAATCTTGTAAATGACAGCCATGGAGAAAGTCCAAGGTTATACCACCTCAACAAGCAGTTAGGAACGTATCCACCTTCCACACAGAGGGATGTTTCCAGACGCCGTGTTTGGACTTGGGCAATTGGAGTTAACAACCCTATGGTACATCTGGGAAATAAATTATATTAAGTGAAGATGTGGGAAGACCTTACCTATGATACAAAGGGGACCTCAGGCTTCAGATGTTTCTGCTGTTGTTACTGCAGCAAACAAATTTGCTTAGCTGACATGCACTTGCATGCTGGAACAGGACTTGTGCCCTAGAGATATTGCATTTGCTATTCAGTACACAGATCCTTAGCTCAGCAGGCAAGACACAGTCAAAGCACTCAGCATAGGTTACTCTGAGTAAGTAGAGGATGAGTAGCTTGGCTACTTCTTTAGATACCTTATTACATTTTAGAAGCCTGAATCTCAGTGAGAAAGAAGCCAGAATTTCAGTCAGCCTTTAAGCTCACAGCTTTTAAGTCATTTAGAATGAATTAAGTAATCACAGACAAGTTTGTTTTGCTAGATGGAAGGTCTAGAAAGTGTCAATGCTGAAAGGTCTTGTTTGTTTTTAATCTTAAATATGCAGGGGCACATGTATTTATTTATAGGCAAGACACTAATAGTCTTTTCCTGAACTTTTGCCAGAAAGGAGATTTTCATTCAGGACAAATTGCACTATTTTGATAACTATTGATCTCAGTTTAAATGAAAATTCCCCTGTTATTTTCAGTTATGCTGACAACACCATTAAGATAACTGTAAAAGCCAGCCAAATTAAGGAAAAAGCTGAGCAGTTGTATAAGGATATTAGTATAGACAGATTTAACACAAACAGTGTAGTCGTAAATGATGTAACCTTGCATTGTTTGGCTAAATACACAAGATTAACCTAACCTCATAAACCTCACAAACAAGATCCACTGACTCATTCTATGATATCAAAAGTTCAGTTTTTAAGAACATTATTTTAAGTACCAATTTCTTCTGTTTTGGAAAAAACACTGCAGAGTAAAATGAAAACTGATGATCAAATAAGCAACCTCTCCCTTCAGTTTATGGGGAAGCATTTTATTATTTGGTAATAATTCAGATTGACTTTATTATTCATTAGATTCATCAGTAATTGCTCAGATCTTTTGGAAGTCAAATTGAAAGCTATGAAGAGGTTGAATAAATATAATTTACTAATTTTATAATAGGCAGAGAGACTGGGTTGGGAAATAATTCCTATCATATAATAATTCTTGTTTTCTTGTAAGTAGAAAATATGTCTAGAGAATATTTTCATGTCTAAAATACTGACAGAAAAAATTGGGTTCTTTAGGATGTTTTTCCCATAAACTTAGAGAGAGGTTGCTTATTTGATTGCTTTAATTTGGATCATGAATTTCATTTTACTCTGCAGTATTTTTTCCAAAATAGGGGGGAAAAAAAGAAAGATATTTAAAATAATGCTCTTAAGAAGTGAAACTTTGATGTGATTCAGATTGGTTCCTTTATATAAATTATTAAAATTCCCATTCTAGTTAGCTAAATTTATGAGTCGTTTTCCAAACATGTGAAATATGATATAGCAGAAAGACCACTTGACTAGAAGCTTCCAGGTCTGTCACTATGGAACAATCTTATTGTAGGTGAATAGGGGCACAGTTAGTTGTTCATTGGGTGGGAGAGTAGTAAACAAGATAAACTCCTAACTGATGTTCTTATCCCTTGTCACATCGATCTTTAGTTCCACAACTGAAAGAACTGCAGTACAGTTTTTTGTTCACTATAGATGCAATAGGACTGGGCAAAAATCTTGAAGACTATGTGATATGTAAAAATAAGCAGGTACTAAGTCTACTATGATGACATGATAAAAAAATAACTATTGATAAGTTCAGTTAAACAAATATTAACAGGGCCGGCCGAGTGGCTTGTTGGTTAAGAGTTGGCTTAGGAGTGCGAGCTCTGAGCAGCAGGGCTGCCGGTTTGGATCCCACATGAGCCAGTGATGCTGCGCCCTCTATAGCTAGGATGGTGAACAATGGCTCCACCTGGAGCTGGGCTGCTGTGAGTTGCTGGCAATGGCATAGCCTGGAGTGGGGCTGCAGTGGGCTGCCATAAGCTACCATGAGTGGCGGGCAGCCAGCATGAGCACCAGCAGCCGGTGCGAGCTGCCATGAGCTTCCATGAGTGGCCGTTCAATGGCTGGCAACTGATCTGCCTCACCCGGGAAGAGTGCAATGATAATACCAACATGGGCCAGTGAAGCGACATCCTCCACAACTAGACTGAAGAACAAAACAACAGCAACTTGTCTGTTCTCCTTCCCCGATTCCCCAATGCTGTTCCCCTCCCCCAATTCCCCAATAAAAAAATTTTTTTAATCTGTTTTAGAATTATCCAAGTGGAAACTTACTCCTTTTAAAATATAAACACAAAGTGGTATTTTTTGCCTAATTACATAACTGAAATTTCCAGGAATGCAAATATATTAGTGGGAAAATGCGTTTTAGAATTTCTCCCACAAAATTTCATCATTCTAAAACACCATAGTATG